AAAGGGAGGAGGGAGGACCCAGGCAACTATAGGCTCATTAGTCTTACTTAGATCCCAGGGAAGCTCTTTGAGAAGATTATCAAGGAGCACGCCTGTGAAGGGCCAGCAGCGGGGATGATGCTCAAGGGCAGCCAGCACGGTTTCATTAGGGGCAGGTCATGTCAGACCAACCTGACTGCCTTTTATGATCAGGTCACAAAGGCAATGGATGCAGGTGTTGCCATGGACGTAGTCTTTCTAGACTTCAGCAAGGCCTTTGACACCGTCTCCCACCCTATCCTCATTAAAAAGCTAGGTGACTGTGGCATTCATGCCTACGCAGTCAGATGGATAGCAAATTGACTGAGGGGCCACACCCAGAAAGTGGTGGTGGATGGGTCATATTTGACCTGGAGGGACGTGAGCAGTGGAGTCCCCCAGGGCTCAGTCCTTGGGCCTGCAGTGTTCAATTTCTTTATTAGCAACATGGATGATTTTCACCAAGATTTGGGGTGAGGTGGGCACGTTAGAAGGGAGGGACAGGATACAGCTGGGCCTGGACAGGCTACATGGCTGGGCAAATGAGGATATGATGGAATTCAATACTGACAAGTGCAGGGTGCTGCACTTGGGCACTAAGAACCAGCAGAGTACATATGGGCTGGGGAACTCTCTTCTTGAAAGTACAGTGCCAGAAAGAGATCTTGGAGTCATTATCGATTCCAAGATGAACATGGGCCGCTAATGCGCGGACACGGTCAGTAGGGCGAACCACACCTTGTTGTGCATCCACAGATGCATCACAAGCAGGGCCAAGGCGGTGATCCTCCCCCTCTATGCAACATTGGTCAGGTTGCAGTTGGAGTATTGAGTCCAGTTCTGGGCGCCGCACTTCAGGGGGGATGTGGACAGCATGGAGAGGGTCCAAAGGAGGGCCACCCGCATGATCTGGGGACAGCAGGGCAGACCCGACAAGGACAGGCTACGGGACTTTAACCTGTTCAGCCTTCACAAAAGAAGACTGAGAGGGGACCTGGTGGCCGTCTATAAACTTACCTGGGGGGACCAGCAGGGAATGGGAGAGACCTTGTTCCCCTGAGTGCCTCCTGGAGTAACAAGGAATAACGACCATAAGTTGTTAGAGAGTAGATTCAGGCTAGATATCAGGAGGCTCTACTTCACAGTCAGGGTGGCTAGGATCTGGAACCAACTTCCAAGGGAAGTAGTGCTGGCTCCTACCTTGGGGGTCTTTAAGAGGAGGCTTGATGATTAGCTAGCTGGGGTCATTTGAGCCCAGTTTTCTCTCCTGCCCAGGGCAGGGGGTCAGACTAGATGATCTGCAAGGTCCCTTCCGACCCTGTATCTATGTATCTATAGCCAAATCGCTGATTCTCTGAATCAGCATTGAATCTTCAGATTCAGATGAATCGAATTGGGACAGTGATCCAAATCAATTAATCGAATCACTGTTCTTCGAAGCAGGCTGAATCTGAATAGAATATGGCCCACTTCGCACACCCCTAGTGTTTATTCCCAGAGGAACAGGAAATCTGATCCTTTAATATGGAAGGTAGGCTAACAGTGGGGCTTGTCCCTTTATGGACTTGGAGAGGAGAACCAGGGAGCTGTCAGTTCTGTTCTAGGAATGGCCAGATAAGAGGAGCTGCTGATGAAGGCAAGGCCCCATCCTGAAGGTTTAAAGGAGATCCCAAAATGGGAAAGAGAAAGAGAGAGGGGATATGGAGAGGCAAATCGACTTATGAAGGAGCAGTGCTGCCGAAAGAAAGTGTCTGGGGCTAGAACAGTCCAAGGATCTTTCCAGCTAAGGCCATAAGTGTGGGAGGTAAAGGGAAGAGACATTTTGTGGTCAGTCCTGTGGGTCTGTGGTTTTTCTCTATGCTTTGAGAATAAATGTAGCCAAAGTGGTTACAAATGGCAGCAGAGCATAGGTTGCTGTTAGGGGTCAGAGTGGCAAATTAAAGCATGGCCTACAGCATCTCAAAGCATTCTGCAAGTAACAAATGAAGCAGTGTTTGGGAGACTGCCTACTGCCCACATATACTCTGGATAGTAAAAATAGAGAAGGTTGGTAGCTAAGACAGATGACAAGGGGCCAGATTTTCTAGGTTCTCTTTCTTGCTCTACCACTGGCTCACTGTCATGAACATGACACAAAACTCTCTTCTATGCCTTGCTCTCTGAAATGGGTGTAGATAAGATACCTGTTTCCCAAAGATGTTTGTACACCTTTAAGTCTACAAAGTTCCTTGAGATCCTTGGATGAAAGAGAACATATATGTAATTTTACCGTTGAGAGTATACATAACTATAGGCCAGTTAATCTTACCTCGGTCCTGGGGAACCTCTTTGAGAAAATTATCCAACAGCACATCTGCAAAGGACCAGCAGGGGAGATTATGCTTAGGGGCAACCAACATGGGCTCACTAGAGGCAGGTCCTGTCAGACCAACCTAGTGGCCTTCTATGACCAGGTCAAAAATCCTTAGACACAGGTGTCGTGGTGGACATCTTTCTGGACTTTAGGAAGGCCTTCGATACTGTCTCTCACACCATTCTCATTAAAAAACTAGGAGACTATGGCATCGA